ACTGAAATGAATCTGCAAATTATCACTAGGTATTTGTTTCTCCCAAACTTCCTCTTTGAAGTTAAGTTTCCCAACACTTTATCCCTGACTAGTCAGTAGAGACATGTTCCTGGAATTGAGACAACTTGAGGAGGTGACCTTGAGTCACTATCCAAAGTTTTTCAAAAGGTAATTGAGATGTCTTCCACTGGCTGCAGAGGGACACTGGACCAAGCTCTTCATTAGGACTTGGTCTCCTGGGAAACCCTTGCTACCTCTAGTAGTTGAGGAAGGGAAGGGGTTGTTTGAATTGAAAACATAGCAAACAAAGGATGCAGGTAATCCAAGATAACTGTGATCTTTTTATAGGTTAGTAGGACAACAAATGGAAAATACAACCATACAGTCCAGTAGCTCAAAATACAGATTTTTTTTTTTATATCCTTGCTGGAACTCATACATACTACACCAAGCAGCGGGACACTATCCAAGAATGAGCCATGGCACAGTGTCTGTGAGACCAGATACCAAGCGACACATGTGTAACGTACATTTGAGGAACTTGTTGCTGCTGTGCAGGGGATGGTTTTAGCTTTCTGCTGATACTGTTAACTTTAAGCTTTTTCTCAGAAGAGATGGTTTGAGAGCAGAGCAGAACCACCATTATCACAGCTGTGGGGGGGAAAAAAAACCTCCCAGGGTTAAAATAGCTAAAATGAAAGAATTCATTTTAAAAATTATTCAAACTAAACAATAGTTTTAAAAAGGAATCTACTAAAATAAGCTGAAAAAATCTGATAGTCAAATTTCTCACTGCATGGGATGTGGAGTAGAAACAGCTCTGCCCTGTGTTTGCCTGTGTGTGTGCCAGGGGGTGTGCATCTAGAACAAACACTCAAAAGTTTGGAGACTTTTTGCCCAAGCAGTAACTGTGCAGTTTCTGTTTTCAGCCCCTCGTGTTCTTTCTGCTAAGAAATGAAGGGTGGTCTGTGCTTCCTGCACCCAAGTCCAGCCATGCAAGACAGTTTCTGCAGTTCTGATCCAGGAGCCTTTGTCCTGCTGCCACTTGCGTTTTCTTTACACTTTTCCTTCAGGGCTTCAGTATTGTTTTGCCTGCCTCTCCATCTGTTTTCTCTGTTTTAACCCTTTTTGAGCAAGACCAGAGGCTCCCCTTCCCTGTCCCATGCACGTTTCTCAAGATGAGGAGACCATGTTTCCCTACCACCAGCTCTTGCATTTCCTTCAACTGCCAGTCTTGCCCGTGGCATCTTGGTTCATCCTTTGTCTAGCTTTGCCTGCTGAAAATGCCACTATGAGTTAGTGAGAGAGTCCTTGTGTCTTTTTTTTCGCCTTGGAGTCACCTTATTGTGAAAATAAGTTCACCATTTCCAGTCTTTTTTTCCCCGTACACAAAGTAAATTGAACAATTCTTTGCATCTTCAGAATTTGCATTTTTGGCCTTTTTCCATCTATTTGCTGCGTGCAGGTTTGTTGCTAATAAACCTCATTTATGACCCATCTCTACCGTTACTTGTCATAATCTCGTGAAGTTTCTGGCTTGTAAACAGGAATAGTCTATCGGATGTAAACGCCAAATTCTCGCTTGTTACCATTGGGGCATCTGCAGAAAACGAGGTGACATGGTACCGTATTTGGAACTCAGACCCTTCACTCTCTGTCCTGCCATGTGCAGGGTGTGCAGACCCAGGAGGGTCTTTCACACCATAAGCATGAGGTTTCAGAAAGCATTTTCCGAAATAGCAGTTTTGTCTCTATTTTCTCTTTTTCCTGGTCAAAGAGAAACACTAGTGTGAGTGTTCTCATGGGGCTTCTCAAACAGTTTCTTTTCGCTGAGCTACCTGCAATGTCAGGCAGAAGAACCCTGGTTCAGCATAAAAGCTAATTTTCTATAATGTATTTTTCTCTAAGGATAGAAGAAATAGGCTCATCTCCATTTAGTGTGCTGTAGTTACATCTGATGGCAGAGTCAACTGCATCTCACGTTTGTCGATATTCTTATTTTTTAGAGGGTTTTCTCCTGTAAAAGGAGCTACATGTCATTTGTTGTGGTTTCTTCTGATCTTATGTTCACCTCAGCTCTTACTGCGCTTGAATACAAGCCTTGTTAGCGGAGCTTACTTGTACCCTGAACACATTTGACAGGTCACCGGCCAATGTGATCTCATGTCAGCGTAAGGTGTGATCTGCCTTGTTTCTATAAAGTGATCCATCGCATTACATGCTTTTTAAAATTTTTTAACAGTCTTTGCAAAGCTTTGCTTAAATCCACAGTTTGCTAATAAGCTCAAGATGCTGATGCTGTTTTGGCTTCTCAGTGGCCCCAGTAGTCTTCACCAAAATCCTTGTGGTGATGGTATTCCATCTCAGGAGACCGACATCACCTTTTACGTAGGCAATTAGCTATACATTCCTTATATGTAGCTTCTGGTGAGCAGTGGGACAGCTTCTGGGCGTTAGCAGTAATTACCTCTCTCCAGTGCCTCTTATCCAGCTGTCTTTTTATTGCAGACTCACCCCAAGATCTCATCTAAGGTTAAACTGATAAAATTTTATTTCAGATGAGATTTCCTTTCCTCTTCAAAATGTAATTCCTCGAAATCTGAGGCTTTGCTACACAAACTTCATACGTTCTCTCTGCTGTCATAAAATAAAATGCTGGGGATATCCATAGATAGACTTGCTTCACAGATCTTGGACTACCAAAGGATGAATTAGCCTTGCTGATGTTGAGTTCCCTGACAGTGAATAGAGCTCAGTACTGCCCTGGCAGCTTTGCCATTATTCTTGACCATTTCCAAGTACTTGGTTGGACCTGCACGCACACCCCTGCGGAGGGGGGTGCCGCTTTCAAAGGGGGAGAAGTATAAAAGCATTGTAGTTGGTAAAATGGTCCACGTGGCTATTCACCTTGGCCTGCCTGTAGGGGAATTAGGTGCTGTTGTAGAGGTCTTACAGCAGCAAATGCACATAAAAGCATGCACCGAAAATTGGAAGAGAAGTTCCTGGCTGGGAGCAAAATGTTTGAGGTGTTTGATGGACACTGTGTCCTGCATTTTCCTTCACTCTCCATCCAAGCCCCTGATATTTTCTCTCTCTGTTGTTAAGAGAAAGAGGGGGCAAGCACATGCCATCAGTTATGTACTCAGCAGAGTACATGTACCTTCATATTGGCTGCTGGGCAGAAAAGTTTGAGTCAGAGTGCTTTTGGTGTATGCATACTACCTGCAGAGGCACATGCATACAGATAATGCACTTTGGAAACCTCCAGGTTTGGTAAGTATCACTTCTTTCTCTGTTCCATAATATTTGAACTCAGATGGGCTTTTCATGAGCACTTTTGCAGATCAGAATATCCGAGAACTTGTGAATGTAAGTGACGTTTGCTGCTCCATGTTTTAAATCTAAACTTTGTGTCTCTGAAGTACTGAAGATCTGCTTTTCTGTATAAATCAGTTGTCTCAGTATATTGCATGTTTGGACCGTAGGTGCCCTCAACTCCCTCAGCTTCTTGCTCTGAGACAGCTAACAGAATTGAGATGCTGAAATTGCAATGAGGAGTTGAGATCGCTGCCTCAATTCCCTCATTCTCAAGCAGCGTGGCAAGTTCTCGCATTAAGCAAATGGCTTATTTTGTTTCTCATAGATTTCCTGAACATTAGCAATGGTTTTGAGCAGTTTCTAATTGATTTTTAAACCCTAACCCTTTGCTTCTCTCATCCTTCCCTTTCTCCTGTGTGTGTCTCTGTGTATGTGCTTTTTGTCTTTTTTTGTTTGTTTGTTTGTGTTGTTTTTTTTTTCCCTGTTTTGGTGGCTTGTGTATCCTTTCCCTGCGTTGCGGTACTGTTTTACGCTGCAGAATTCGTCCAGCTCTGCCTCTTCAGAAGCCTCTGAAACCTGCCAGTCAGTGAGCGAGTGCAGTTCCCCCACCTCAGTCAGCTCAGGCTCCACCATGGGGGCTTGGGCCTCCACAGATAAGGTGAAAAACTTCATCTCAAGGACATACAAACCTACTAGCTCGTTATCCAAACCCAGCAACATTTGGACAAAAAAAAAACCAAACGGTGCATGGGATGCAGCCAGGATTCCTCTCTGTGAAGATGAGAATAGGAACTGTCACACACTCCTTTAAAGATCAATCTGTTTGAATAAACCACAGCAACACTTGCCTTTAAACTAGCTGCTAGGGGGAAGCAACAGATTGGGCATTTTGCAGAGGTAATTTTCTAAGAAAAGCTCATTGTCCACCTTTTCTACTCAAAGAGGTTGTGGAATGCTGCCCAAACCCAACTGGTTGCCTAACAAAGAGCATCTTGCTCAGGCTGTACTGTCTGTGGCTTCTCCCCTCTCTCCCGTTAGGTAACATGCATTACACTGAGCAATTGGGGTTGGTCTTTGACCGAAGCAAAAAGGAAAACAAAACACACATGGTTGGAATAAATTACAGGGGATACTCTCTGAATTGGGGGAGGAAGTGATAGCGGTCTCCATTCTCATCTGGTAAATCCTTGCTGTTGGTTTTTTCTTTTTTTTTTTTCCTTCCATGTCATCACACAGCCAGAGTATGTCATGTTCGAAGGCTGTATGCTTTCCCTCTCTGTCCAGCTACACAGAATAAACGCCGGCAACGCAAATGCCTCCAGTACTGGAAATGTTTTGTTTCGATGTCTGCAGTCTGCAGGGTACCTAAATTGCAAAGGCCTTTTCACGGGGCGCTGCTTTCATGGACAGAAGGCAAAGCTGCTCAGCCTGGAGACAATGACTGCTAGATTCATGTCTGAAATTTGTTATACCAAATAACAATTTTCAAGCAATCTCACTCCTGAACCAAGCATTGTATCAATTTTCTGTTGTTTATTTGCAGCAAAGCTAAGATTTTTCTTTTTTTGTTTTAAGATACAGAAGTTTTGTCCCTAAAACATCAGAGTCGCAGTGTATTTTCATATTCATTCTGTTTATATTAATTTCTCTGTTTTGTTTGTTTATTTGTTTCGTTTCCAGTTGTCTAATGGGTTTTATCACTGTAGTTTATCAAGTGACCCATCCGTAGCTTCAGTTGGTGCAGGTCCTTTCCCTCATTTCCCGCCTGTCTCCCGCGCGTGGACTCGGGCTCCCTCAGCCCTCCTTCCAGACTACGTTCATTATTACACCATTGGGCCAGGCATGTTACCATCATCTAAGATCCCTAGCTGGAAGGTTTGTGTTCCGTTTTGTTGTGGCAGTCCTCACCTCCTCATACCAACAGCGTGCACACGGCAGTTGTTGCTACCTTTCGATCCATGTAATTACCCGTTGATTTGCTCTGTTTAGTATCACTCTGAATGGGCACTGCATGGTGATGATCAGAGAGCTGAAATCTGGTAGTGGATGTTTCTGAATGACCTTGTCTATTCTGGCACTGCCTAAAATACATTAAAGCTGACAGCACCTACGTAGGGAGGAGCAGTTTAACTCTGGAACATTGGTGAAAGCACTCTGGGCTCTATTCAGCGAGGAAAGAGCTGGTTTAGCACCGTCAAAGCGCTCACTTGAGCAGGCGAGTGCAGGCTGGGCATCGGCCGGCTTAGTGACACCGTACGTCGAACACCGCGACGGTCTCACTGCGGCGGCCGTGCTCGGCCCCCGCCTGGGCCGCAGGCAGGCCTGCTCTTGCACATCTAGCTGGAGTGGTTTAAGGAGGCGCTGGTCGCCGGGTGAACCCCAGTGACGACTGAAGCTGTCCTGGCTTTACTGGCGCAGGCTGGAAGGGCTCACCCGGCTTGATTTGCTCTCTTGGGTGAGACCACCGAAAAATTCAGAGCGCAGTAACTTCTTTCAGCTGCTCCAGCTGGATCTGCAGGGATCTTCCTTGGCATCAAAATGTCTCCGCTCTGCCAGAGCCTTGACTCTCATCCCTGCCAGGCGATTCCGCTGGGAGGCTCTGCCCGGGAGCAAGGGGAGAAGGTCTCTTGTCTGCTGCCCAGAACCTTCACAAGGCCGATGTGCAGTTGATAGCAGCTGCACGGGCCTCAGATGCCTGTGGATGGTTATACGGTACTGCGTATGCACCACGGGACCTTCGTGCGCCTGTAAATTGTTACGCCTGCCTTGTCACAGACCCCCTCATCTCTCTCTCCAGCAGCTGGAGGCTGTTGAGACATACCCACAGGGTGGCCACGGTGGTCCTGGGGCTTCGGAGTCACTAGTTGTGCCTACGCTAGAAGCACTTTGCCAATATATTTTACAGCAAAGAGGCAGCTGTTAAGGCAAAGCAGAGTTCCGTATGTGTTGATAAAACCAAAATACCTGTCTGCCCAAGGGGCTTCTGTCAGTACAGCTGCCTTGCACGCCTCATGCCTTGGGCTGAGACGCAGGTCAGTAAAGATCCACGGTGTGGTCTTAGCCCATCATGAATGATTTGTCAGAGGGCTGCGTGGAGGCTGCCCAGCAGCCGCCTGCACAAGTTGTTTCTTCTGTTTTCATGTTTGAAGCACCCCTTGTCCTGGAGAGGGGAAGCTCTCTTAGGATTGGGCTTGCCCCGGTGGCAGCTTGCATTTGGGGAGCTGCTGCTTCGCAGTGGTTCTGCGTCCCAGCACAGGGTGCTGATCAGTCCTGCTCTTCGTGTGCAACATGTGGTTTCTGGACACCCTCAGGACTTTGCTTAATAGAGCCCTGAGTGAATAAGGCCCTCATGGCCTGAGGAACTTCCGTTGCAAATTTGGCACCAGTAATTCAGAGTGAAGTTAGTCTTTCTGCAGTCCAGATCGTTATTATAAACTAGATTTCAGCTAGTACATAACTGAGAGATTACTCAGAGTAACTGGCTCCTCTAATGTGTATCAAAAATCTGTTCAAGCCTAAGTTTTCAGAATTGAAGACATGCATAACAGGACGTAATACTAGAACTTGTGTACGTCTGGGACAGTTACATCGCTGATTGGACATTTATGTACATTTTCTGCTGCATGCCAGTGATTTTTGCATTTGAATTTCTGAAAATATAGGCTTTAACACAATGGAATATGTCGCTTAGAGAAAACTGTAATATTAAAATGTTAAATATCTTCATACACAAACACGTAGGTAGAATAGGAAATTTAGATTCCTTTTAATAAAGGAGATAGGTTTTAACAGTGAAGATTTTTAATATCCTCAAAATCAATTTATTTCTGGCCTTATTCAGAAAGGTATATCCAGTTTGATACATAATCTCTTGCATTAAAATTGCCCTTTTGCATAGTTTTACTTGTAATTAAAGTGCAATTACTGATGAAAGCTATCACTAACAAGCACGTTTCCTTAGGACTGGGCCAAACCAGGCCCATACGACCAACCAATGGTGAACACATTGCAACGTCGCAAAGAAAAGCGCGAACCAGACCTCAATGGAGGAGCTCAGAGCGGGCCACCCGTGCCCCCTGAGGAGGCCCAGAGACCTCGGAGCATGACGGTGTCGGCTGCCACAAGGGTGAAGCTCTAATTTCAAATACGCGATTTGGTGCGAAGGAAACGGATGGGCTCGCTTCTGCCGATAGGTTTTTTTGTGCTTTATGTTGGCTCGTGTTTATCTGACGAGCGCTACTGGTGTGGTGCCGGTGCGGTCAGTGGCAATCCCGTGGGCATGAGAGAACGTGCCGTCGGGTATTGGCATTTGTAGAGCAACGGCATCCAGAGAAGCGTCTGTTTGTGAGCCCTAGTACGCGGCTGGACACAGTCCTGCTGGGTTGTGACGGTGACAAGCTCTGCTTGGGCGGAGGGGCAGCTAAAAGTCGGTGAAGATGGACTGACCCTTCTAGAGGTAATGAGTCTCTTTCCTGTGTGCAACCAGCAGGGTGAGGAGATGGAGGCCTGCGAGGAGCTGGCGCTCGCTCTGACGAGAGGGCTGCAGCTGGACACCCAGAGGAGCAGTCGGGATTCCTTGCAGTGCTCCAGTGGCTACAGCACCCAGACAACAACTCCGTGCTGTTCAGAGGACACCATCCCGTCTCAAGGTACCCGTCCGAGATACGTTCTTTTTCAGAGCGTTCCCGGCCTGGCCACCATACATTCCCCCCCCGGAGCCCAGGAGCTGTATTGCAGGAGCTGTCGCTCGCTGGCTTTGCAGTCAGCTGGCGAGAAAGGGGTGATCGTTGCTGTTGTGTTTTCCAGCTTGGAATGCAGCCTGGATTTATTAACTGAATGGAAACCGGGACTGCTGCGTAGTGTACTGAGCGATCGTATTTTCTTGTGCGTTACTAGGATGAGTTTTAGCTTAAGGGTGCTACCGTTTTAAAGAAGATGGTGGAATTATGTTTCAGGGGCCAAGTGGAATGACACTGGTATTGCATCATAGACTTCTTGTGGTGGTAGCGTTCTTTCTGAGCTATTGCCTTAGCAAATACGCACTCAAGAGCTTGGCTTTCTTGCTCTGTCGGTGCTCTGCTCTTGGGTTCCCTTTGTGACCCTTTATTTCCTGCCTAAGCAGAAATTTTGTAATTGGAAAAAGACTCCATTGGAGACCTCAGCTGGGGCGTTCCTGGGCAGCTGCAGTGAGGTGGGGGGGTTTGCACTCCGTTTCAGGCGCAGCAGCAAGCTGAGGGGGACCGAGTTTGGTGTTGGCAGCCCAGCAACCGCCTTGTTTGCTCGGCCGGGGTCGGTCGTGCTGTGCCATCGCGAGAGGCAGCAGGGCTTGCAGAGGGCCTAGCTTGGCTCAGCAGTTACGTGGAGAGGAAGGAACTTGATGCAATTATTAAAGCTGAGGCTGAGTTTTCAGAGCTGACAGCTGGGATTTACTTTGTTGGCAAAACAAGCAAATTTGCTGCTGAAGTCGCGGGTACACAGTCCCTTGAGCCCCACGTTGCCTAGTCTAAGGTAGACTTTTTAGCCACTGACTGTTACAAGCGTTTGTATCTACAAGTGGTAGCATATGGCTTGTAGGGTGCTGGTTTTGGTATCTTAATGTTGGCAACAAACGTGGAGTCTTTGTTACTTAATTAGTTCTTCTCAGAGAAGGTGCTGAGGGTGTGCTGCTCTCGTTCTCGGCCACCAGAGATGGGGGCACCCTGCAGCTTCAGGGTGGGACTGCTGTAGTGCCTGCCTTCAGCCACGCAGCCTGAGAATCTTGGTCACGGTATCGCCGGCTTCCTTCCTCCTAGAGGTGAAACCTCTCCTAATGGCTGTTGACCTCCAGACTTTTTTGGTTACATATACTTTTTGGGTTATACGTGCTTTAGACTCACTGACGTGACTGAGCTGTCTTCTCCAGCTTGTTCCTAACGCTGTCTTTTGGCATCAGTTTCAGATTATGATTATTTCTCTGTGAGTGGTGACCAGGAGGCAGAACAACAAGAGTTTGACAAATCTTCCACCATCCCAAGAAACAGTGACATTAGCCAGTCCTATCGCAGAATGTTTCAAACCAAGCGTCCTGCTTCCACTGCAGGTCTGCCAACCACGCTTGGACCGGTCATAGTCACCCCCGGCGTCGCCACCATCAGACGGACCCCTTCCACCAAGCCTTCGGTCAGACGCGGCACCATCGGGGGAGGTCCGATTCCGATCAAGACGCCGGTGATTCCTGTCAAAACACCGACTGTCCCCGATGTCCCAGGGGGGCTGCCCGGCGCCCTCGCTGGGACAGAAGAATGTCCCGAGCAGAGTCCCGAGTCTCCGGCAGCGGGAGATGGTGGGCAAGGGGTCGCCAGCATGCCCTCATCCTCGTGGAGCGGACAGGCGTCTGTCAACCCTCCGCCGTCGAGCCAGAAACTGGGTGCTGCCGAGGAGCAGAGGCAAGCGGTGCCCGAGAGCGAGGGGGAGGAAAGCGAGCGGGATGGCGTCGGCCCCCTCGCGCCCGCGGGCCAGCCGGAGCTTGACCCCGGGGAGCTGAGTCCCGGGGACGTCCCGCAAGGTGAGGATATGCTGAACGCCATTCGGCGCGGGGTCAAACTGAAGAAGACGACCACAAATGATCGCTCAGCACCTCGTATCTCCTAGGAGTGGAGAAGCTGCCAGAGTACTAGCTGCCGAGAAGGAACTGTGAGGAAATTAATTTGTCTCTATCCATTCCAATCTGTAATCAATTAATTTTTTAAGATACTCGGTAACAGACAGTCTAAAAGTACTCTGAAAGAGAAAACAAGGTGAAAGAGCGTAGTAAGACATAATCTTCACTGGTGTTTTAATTTGTAAATATCAATGATTTTGTTTCTGCATTTTTTTGATCTCAGTTACACTTTTCATTTTTTCTGAAGGTGCCAAAACCCATTTACCTTTTTTATAACTCTCTTTGTAAAGTTTTAAATCATAGGAGAAAAAAAAAAAAAGTCAAGTAGTTAACTTCAGCAAAGGGATTTAACGAAAATTTGGCTTTTTTGCAAGCTTTTGTAGAGCGCCTTGTAATAGCTTAAAAAACCAACATGAAACAATGGGACTTATTTTAAAGTTTGAGTTGAGCTGTAAGGAACCGATCGTCATTTTAAGTATTAAAAAAAAAAAAAGTCTGAAAAGCAGGAATAAAAATTGACAATAAAAGCAATATATAATGCAAGGAAGAAACCTGCAGTTGGTAGAGTATTCGGGGGGTAGTGGGGGGAGGGAGATGCCGTCAAAATAGCAGATGCTGTTGCACAAAAGTAGCCTAGTAGGGTTAATTACTAGTAGCTTCATGGTAAATGCATCAGAATAAGCCATATTGGATTGCAGTGTTTTGTTTCTGTAGGGTGTTTTGAAGACTGGGTTTTTCCACGTTTCTTTTTTGACTGCACAGCAGCAACTCTCAGTCACATGCATGCAGCCGTAACTGTGTAGGCTTGGTTCTTCCACCTCCACTTCTCGTTCCACTCATCCTTTCGCTGGATACCAACACGGACGACAGGCTTAAGGCAGTTACAAATGTGAAAACATTTTTCAAATGCAAGCAGGGAGTTCTTAGATATTATCCAAATGCCTTTTTCTGACTGTGCCCAGCAGGCTGGGCACCTTGGAAAGCCCAAATGTTTTGAGAAAACACTGAACAATTCGACAGGCGTAACCAGCTTGTGATCTGATAAACTGCGAATGTTTCTTTCCAATACAGGGGCTTGTTTTTCTTAACTTCTTTTAAATGGCAGTTGATTGGCTTTTCTTAAATACCGCAAGGAAAGGGGTGAAGGGTGGGGGGTGGGGAGAGATACTGGTTTTTTGATAATACCGGGAGTCTGACCACTGTATTCTCTTTTTTTTGTACTTTAAGTCACGTTTTTTGGAACGCTATTGATAGAATTACTAAGAGTTGGATTTTTTCCTTAAAGTAAAAGTTATTGCTGCAATACCCGTCTCCTAAAGCCGATAGAAATATGCAGAGCCCAGGGCACGATGCACATCCCGGCGGGGCAGTCGGGCAGGTGCCCTCGGCCCGGCCGCAGCAGGCCCCCGCGCGGGCCGGCACCAGCCTTGGGAAACGCCCCAAACGAGGCGCGAGGGGCTGGTTTCCACCACACGCTCTGCAGATTTCTGTTGGCTCTAGACTTGCCTACGTAACCTCTTATGCTTTAATACATAACTGCATTGGATGTGAAACTTCTAGTAACTGTGTAGTCACTGTGTTCTATATAACATTTTACACTGCTGTGGTTGCTAACCTTCTTTTTTTGTTATGGCTTAATAGCAAAAAGAAAAAAAAAAGGCATGATTCTTAGAAAATATTAAACCTTCCTTTCTTTGAAAAACAAGCTCCTTATTACAGAATATAATAAACAGTAGTGCCTGTGGTGTAGCCCACCAACCTTGATACAGTAGCTGATGCATTGTGCAAATGAGGCTTCGAGATGGTTTTTGCATAAACAAAAACTGCTAGGAGATAATCTCAATAGTTAAAAGTGTTATTTAAACCTTTGAAATAAATGGATGTAACTGTACCCGAGTACAGCTTTTCACTTGTTTAGTTCTTAAACGTTAGTATAATCAGTAAAATTTAATATAAAATGTTGCCAAATTCAATGTAGAAAGAATGTGACGAAACACTTTGGATAGTTCTATTGTTTGTGTTTTTGCATATTGTAAAAGCAGTGTCACAGCTAAAAAATAAAATGTTTCTAATGGTAAATTATTGTGGTTTAGTTGCTAGTTTGTACTGAGAGTTGACCTCTCCCTGTGCAGTTTTTTGTTCTAAACTGGTATAAATAATTGCTGTAAGTGTGTCTCCCTTCTACATTGTAATGATTGCTTAAGCCTACATTATAAATAAAGAACTGCTGGAAAACTTCTGTATTTCGGTTCTTAAAGGCGTTCTGCTTCCAGAGCTTGGGCTATCAGTGGTGTCCTTCATCAGGCTTACTTCGGAAGATCACGCGGGTTCCATCAGCGTGTCACAGAAGCAAGAGAGGATTTAAAAAATGGGCAGATAAAGTCGCATCTAGCTGCGTTTTACTGATGTGCACTGGAAGGGTAGTAGCGGAACAAAGGCGCAGTGCTAACAGTGGAAATTCCCCTTAAATAACAGCTGGGCGATGACACTTTGCTGTCCCTCGCTGGTGTTACCTGGCCAGGAAGCACAGGGAGTGCGACACGTTTGTGCACCCGCTGCCGTGCGGGACTGCAGTTCCTTTTGCCGGAGGAGGAAAACGGCTGCCGTCAGCACCGCCCCGGCTGGCCGCCGGAATTCATCAAGCACACCGCCAGTGCCGTCTCCCACACGCCCCTGAGTGACTGAAGACTTTCTTCTGTTCAGCTTTCTCAGGAACAGGGATGGGGAGGACGCTGCTCCCACATGCAGCTCCCACGCAGTGGCCTAATTTATTTCCTTGCCACTGCAATGGATTCATTTTTGTCCCGAGGTTTCCATTGGTCATTGTATTTGGCTTGTGTGGCAAGGTTTTGGTAGCGGGGGGTGG